ATCAAAAGATTTTAATAAGAATGAAACACATAACAGGTTATTACAAACCACAACATCTTTTATTAAATACAATTATTGCCACATCTCCCACAGACATAACGAAATATGGAAAAACAAGATTTTATATACTTACAGTATCATCAACTTGTATTCCACATCCAAATTATATTGGTGCGCACTTATCTATGAACGTTTCGCAACGTTAATACATTGGTAATCACGCATGTACACTTGATGAGAAATAATAGCTAACTGAAGAATGCGAGCACAAAATTACTGAAATGCAAGAAATGTATTGTATATGCAAATTTTACAGGCTGATTTCACATCACATTTCCTTCATATTCACACACTGGCTTTTACCTATTCTTAAAGTAATGCGTCCAAATTAACGCCCTTGCTGAGAAATTTAAAATAAATAGAAAATTATGCCATCTCCCAAATAATCACTCTTTATAAGATACGTGTTTGAGAAAGTATGTATCTATATGTATTTTTTTTAAATGCCGCTATTCAGGAAACCAATCGATATGACCTGTAGCTATTTTTTTTCCTATTTCAAATATTTATTATTCATCGCAGGTACCCCACCAGAAACATTCACTTTCGAATTCTACAACAAGGAAAAGGCCTATAACAATTTCGGCCCCTTAACCCCTCAGGAGTTTTACAACAAACATGTCCGTCCACTCTTCGACGTTGACGATAAGGTATGTAATTAAATTACTAACTCTTGACAGAGTATGACGCTTTATTGACCTGTGCCTCTACCACTTTTGTATGGCAAATTATACAGCGCCCCTAGAGGTCATAAGAACAAACATTTTGTTTACGTTTTACGCGGTCGCTAGCGATAATTGTCATGTAATCTTATTATGGTACAGGCACTGTTCGTCGAAAACTTCGCACTGTATGATTTTTCAAAATTTAATTTAAAGGTGTAAAGACATTCTTTTGTTGATTTGTTATTTTTCTTATTTTAGCCTCGAACGTCATATCTGCGTTTTTGTGCCTTATGCGGAATGTTTTTTTAAATGGGACAGTATGTGGAAATCCGAAACCGTACTCAATTTTTTGGTCAAGCGTGAGTTGTTCATAAAAATAAATAAAATTGACCAAAATTGTTTTCGCAAAGAAAGACTTAATGTTTCTTAAGACAGTTTCCTTGTCTCTTTTATGGTTTCGGATTTCCCCATACTGTCCCATTTTAAAAAACACTGTATATTTTGTACAACAATTTAGATATTCATATATTCGTTCATATGTAACGCGCGATACCGCGGCGATCAAAGGAAATACTTCAAAACGCGCGTTATCGTGCACTGCAAGTATTTGAACCTAGCCTTAAAGTAACCGTTTATTCCACAGGTGTGTCTAGTAAGCGACCCGCGAGTATCAAATCCGTTCGGAAATCTATACACCCTGCAATGCTTAGGTAACGTGGTCGGCGGTCGGCAGACGGCGTACAACAACCAACCTATTGAAACGCTCATGACGTGAGTGCTAGTTGTATAAACAAGTTATAGAATAGTTCCGGTATTGATCCATATTCCGGTATTAAAGTCCATTTGACGTAGGATGGGTACTGTGACATTTCCAATTTTTACGTTACACGCATACGTGTAACAATCGCGAAAACCTAAGAACTCGAATTTTATATTTGTTATTTAGTTTTTTATTACCTTAATAACATAATAATTGAATCCTTTTCATTTTGTTCATTATTTGTTCTTAAATTATTCTCTCTTATGATATTTAAGTAGAGTTAAGTAGATATTTAAATCTTTTTTTTTTCATTCGATTTTACGTCACTACAATCTTTTTTTTTCATTCGATTTTACGTCACTCCACCTCTAAATCTCAATCGTCACCGTACCCTACTATATGAAATGAGCTATAGTCCAATTCCGGTATTGATTCAATGCCTGTATTGTGATAATTCCGGTAATTAGTTCCGGTTAGAAGGAGAGCTGTCTTGGTAGTTGCCCAGCTCCAGTATAAATAGGTGCCACTATTTATATTTCGTGAACCAATATATAGATTACAAATAAATTACCACGTATTCTTCAAGTAATGTTTATTTTAGAGTGAGTATTTCTCATTATTATAGAGTTGTAAAAGACAGCATTGCGGGCGGTGAAGCTGTTTGGTTTGGCTGTGAAGTGTCCAAAAGATTCGAAAGGAAAAACGGACTAGAAGATTTGGATGCGTAAGTATATCTAACATGAGATATCACAGATACGATTACCTGTTGAAACAATTAAGCAATCTATTAGTTAACATTCTAGCACTAGCGTCACAGTACAAATAGTCATTTGACGTTAAGAAGAATAGTATTGTTTTTTAATCACATGAGTCACAGGGTCAATGTAAACGATTCTATAATAAGATTCCAGTTGATATTCAAAATGTCATTCACGAGATTAACTAGGCATGTTTTAGGTTTTCACAATTGTTTTAAAATATTTACGTACCGTTTTAAATTCAATTTTGGTTTCAATTAAGTTTAAGTTTATAAATTAAATTTAAAACGGACGTAAATATGCTTGCCAGGGTGCTGCGAGAGGCCATTGAAATTAAAAAACATCCTAATTTCACCAGGGAAGATGGTGTCTCCGTACCACCAGTTTGGGATGCAATATTTCCTCTGATGAAAAATCCCAAAGAGACATAAGGCTGCAGTACTAATTAATATGTTTTAATTTATTCTAATTTCCATTATCAATTAATAATAAATTTAAGTTAATAAAAATTCTTATTGTTAAAAATACGGTATTTAATTAATAACTTTTTTAAGTATAGAGAAAAAATTGGTTTGCATTAATATTCGACATAACTGGTTGATGGCTTTACCACCTCAGTCAACCGTGACCATGGGACCCGTAAAAGGCTGGAAACATTGGTTTGTTTGAAAAAACAAATATACGCGATTTAAATACGGAACATGATCCCCTGAAAAATTTTTCGAAATGGCGCTTACGCCCTTTCTTCAAATAACCGGCGAAATATTCTTATACCACTTGGTATACCCTTTCAGGCAAGACTACCGTCTAGTGTTCAACACGGAGGTACAAATAGGGCTGCCTAAGGCGGATCGGCTGCTCTACGGTGACTCATGTATGACGCACGCTATGGTCTTCACTGCTGTTGCTACTGATGTAAGTATACAGTAAGGTGGTGGCGTCAGTGACCGACAAGTACCAGTGTTCCGACATCTTTTTTTTTATTCTCTTCTAATAAGCATTAGGACAAAATTTTGTATCATAATACCACATTTTGTTATTGATATTTTTATACGTGTTTTTTTCTTTATTGTTTAGAAAGGATTTTATCTTTATAAATATGCCACCACTTTAGTAGCAGTAGCAAGAGTTCGTTTCCTTGTGAAAAAGTTCGTCTAGGGAAGTACTGCCACCTTACCTATTTCTGCCACCAAGCAGTAATGTCAGCACATCGAGTACCTATATAACTAGAAATAGAGACGTAATAAGGGCCATCCATTCCTGGCAACTCATCATGCAAATAGGCCTTATATCACTTTTAAATATCAACTGTCGTTTGAGCTGAAATCACAAATTAAAAAGCTGAAATAGTGCAGCGCCAACAACTGACCTGCGTATACATCTCCGTATATTCCAAAAATATCCTGTATTTTTGTAACAAAGATAATATCTCTACCTATGGAGGACTGTTCCATTCGGTGGTGTGGGAAAAACAGCAAAACATCTAATTAGAAAACAAACGGAATTTCATTTCAACAACTCATTTCATCGGTAATAATTAAAGATCATGTTTATCAATTATATGTAGTTTTTCAATTTTCGTCCGTTATAGCAAAGCTCAAGTTAAACTAATCGATTTGAAGTGAACCAATGGACGACATCCGTCAATTCTTTCGGATTCGGGCTGGCCAATCGGAGCGCAGTTGTCACCGTAATGATTTGGCAGAATAGTTTTTAAAACAAATGAAATGACATTTCGTCTCTATTAATTAAATTTTTATTGAATTGATATTCAATTATTTTTTGTGAAATTACTCCACCAGTTTGTTATAATTATTAATACAAAGATCGAACACTCAGAAAAAAATCTTTCGATCCGGCCGGATTCGAACAGATGTTTTCTAGCTTACCGTTGCCAGACGCTATACCAACTAAGCTACGGAACGAACCAACGGACCTCACGAATTTTTCTATGTGCTTGAGTCGTGTATTTGGTTTTTCAACGACTCTTTAGTCGTAGCGCCATCTATGAGAAATCTGTCACTTTATTTTTAATTATCACCCAGTTAGTACCTTTACAGCTACCAGTCCTGGCGTGAGATGTCCCCAGGACTGGTAGCATGAAATTTCGTCTCTATTTCTGGTTATATACTCGATGTGTTAGCATTACTGTATTCCGGTTTTGAAAGGTAAGGGTGCTGGTGAAATTACAGGTACATAAGACTTATCAACTTATGTCTCAGGGAGACGGGTGCATTAGCAGGGCCCCTCAGATCTTTGCGATTGAAAGCTTTGAGTGGCACTGCAACTGTTGTGAACAGGCGTGTAGGTTACCATCAGGCGCACGACTTGTTCGTCCCGTCACTTGATATTGTAAAAAAAAACCCATAGGCGCGATACTGAGGTATTACAATCTAGGTATCTATTAGGTATCGCTAATTTCACAATCCAACATCCTGGCCTCCTTAGACAAGGGGCTGGCCAAGATGCTGTTGCATGTGCCTACTGCACAAAACGTTGAATCTGTTGTCTAACACCTCACTCCTAACACACTCCATTATTACATGGTAGACTTCTTCTGTTGTCGCACATTTCTCATTTTGGTGAAGGAAACTTTGCATCAGATATCCGAACTTGTTCAAAGATACGTGTCCCGAGGAAAGCCTTAACGCCGTAACTAATTCACGCCTGCTCATTTTGGCATCAACAAACTATGGAATGCCAAGTAGACTGGGTTGAATGGTTTTATACCAAATTCCCTTAGTTAAGAATCTTAAACCGAAGTAGTCCTTCATAGAGATGTAACACCGCTCCTTAATTAGATACGACATGTCTGAAAAATACGGTTTACAAGTATCGCCCTTATTGAAGCCTCTTTGACTAAGCCAAGTTTTATTGAAAGCGATTTACGCAAAATGGGTGCAATTCAATGAACCGGATTCATCCCCTAATGTGTGTTACACCTTAGTGGTGGAATGGACTCTTCAAATTTAATTTAAACCACTACTGAGGTAACCCTTTCCATCAAAAAGAGAATCATCGAAGCCTGAGGGGTCTACTCTCGATCTCCGTCCGAAACAATTACTGCCAAATAAGCAATACTTGACCAAATGAAAAGACGCGTGATGCGAATGAAGCTTCATAATGGATACTTGTCTTTTAACTTTGTCGAATATTACTTATTTGACAGTAATTGTTTCGGACGGATGTCGAACGGAGATCGAGAGTTCACAATTGTCGGAGTAATCGCGTAACATACAAAAAAGAAATACCGTCTCCTTTTTTAGAAGTCGGTTAAATAAACTTTGAAAGCCGATAAAATGTATTTTTTACACACAGTATGACCTTTTCAGGATCAAGGTAAACCGAAGAGGTTCCGTGTAGAGAATTCTTACAGCGACAAGGAGTACGACAAGGGTTACCTGCTCCTCACCGAACTTTGGTTCAGAGAGTTCGTGTTTGAGGTAAGTTGTCTTTCGTTGCGTAGATTGAAAACGGTGCTTTCTGACGTGCACCCTAGTGGTAAGATGCAACAATACTTAATTTTTCAGTTGGACAATAATAATCTGTCAAAAACCCATACCAATTATCAAGACTCAAACTTGGGAATTCCTTGCGCTACCCAGAACATTCCAGAACCAATTTAGATAAGTTGGTTGCCCAAATTCATTTTACCGGGTATCAAACATACCTCCTCATCGAACGTGCTGATCGTTGAGCTTACAGGGCCATCCGTGATTGTCAATTCCATAACTCTGGGCAACTCAGTAGTCTTAGAAAAAGCTTTTATGGTTCAGAAGAAGTGTATTCGTGCTATTTGCGGTGCGTGGTTCGATGGCAGCTGCAAACTGTTGTTCAAAAACGTTGACCTACCAAGACATGGACGTCGGGTCTAATACAAAAACCACGAAAAAAATGTCCGAAGTTAACCTACACAAACGTAGTGACTTGTAACGAAATATAAAAAGCACTAAAACATTTAATTTAAATTGTAACGTCATTGCAGTACTGCATAATTTTGCTTACAACAATTTAAGGGCCCAAGAACACTACATTCAGCTTCTACTGGAAACTTAACAAAATGCACCATATTTAGCTTTGACTGAAAATTACTTGAACACAAGAGTAATGGACCAGGCTTTATTGTAAATATTAATTATTTTTTATATATATTATATGTCGAATTTTGTACAAGTTCACTTAAAGAAATAATAAAAAGCTGGGCAGATACATACATACAAATATTACAAATGTGAAAATAACCGTGTACTAAGAAATATACCGATATTCCAACTAAACGTAAACTCAAATGTCCGTAATTCCGAAAACCGATTTATAATAAAACCGTCTCCATTTTCTGACTATGTTCCTCGAAGTTTAGGTAAAAAAACTCTTACCTATTCCGATCCCTGTTAATTACTGTATAAGTAATATGTCAAAAGCAATTGTCAATTGTAATTCAATTTCACTTGGTAATTTATTGAAAATAGTTAAAAAGTTATTCTTAGAAATTGCTTTATGGCAACGAGGTTGGTATAAAAGTCATAATGTTTGCTCTAGTTTGCCTAATTGATTTCACCACGTGTTTTAAATATTGAGGATAAGAATTGGCAAAAACGCAGATATCGCTAATGCACATGCATCGCAAAAGCAATACGGTTAACTTTTTTGAACATTGACCTAACAACAAATGGACGTCGGGTTCGCGCTAAAAAGTATCCGCACCTATAGGGCGTTAAATTCGGGAAATCACTTAAGAACATTGACTTTATATTTGTAAGTCAATGCTTAAGAACATAAAAAATTGACGTAATTGGGGACAGGCAGGTACACTATATTTATCTTAACTTTGCGACCCACAGTGGGTCGGACCTGCGATATTGCGGACATTGGATTTTTTTTTGCGATACCTCTCTAATAAAAAGACAATCGAGAGATCCTGTTGTCCTAATTAAATATTGTCATATCACATTTTGCTATAAATCCAATAGTTTGGTAGGAAAAAATAAAATGTGTATTTTTTGTATGCGACCATAATACCATAAATCTTTAGTGCCCCATCGTTACAAAGTCTTAGTCGATACAGCCTTGGAATCACTACAGGCGTATTATTAGACCTATCTTCTATAGATTTGCACAATAAACGCGAGCCCAAACCTGCCTATTCACTACTTATACGCGTCAGACAATGTGCTACTTATATTAGTAGTGAATTGGCAGGTTTGGGCGCGCGTTGAGTTTGCAAATATATAGAACTAAAATATTTTTCTACTGCCACAATCCAAAGAACACGTCATAAACTATCACATTTTATTTTTCCAGGTGGTAGTAGATAAGAAGTACGTACCGGCAGCGGTTCTAGAAGTATTCAAGCAACAGCCCAAAGTGTTACCAGCCTGGGACCCTATGGGCACTCTAGCCTGTCCCATTTGTTCCAAGGAGTAACACAGGATTCCTTTAAGCACGTTATGGCATACTTAAGTTGAAATGCCCAATTCTACCTGAACTATAATAATGTGACGTACACACCATATCAGCATAACTCTTAGCATTGACATGTATCTATATTATTTGGCTGTAGGTGCTAAAATACATGGTGCTTTGATTTCCTACAGTAACGTGATTCACATATTTGTGTTTGTTTACAATTTTGTTTATGTAGTGTTAAATTAATTTTCTACGTGGATTTTTTAACAACACAACATGATATACTAATTTACTCACTTAATACATTGCCTGCCAATCTGAATTTGTCGTCTACCTTTTTTTTTCTTTGGCCTTGCAAGCGTGTAGACACACATTATACAATAATTTATTCAGGTTTCTCAACTTAGTATAATATCAGCTTACCTGTCGGACCTAGGTTTTAATTTATTGTTAGTGTACACTTAAGAATCACAAAAATATATTTTATACAGATAACAAGGTACTTATACACTGCAAGATCTCAAAATCTTTGGTAATTTCACCTTAGAATTTAGAGATTTTAAATGCCATAGTAAATTTGTGTTCACGTTTCTCACAGTTACCATTGCTGTTCTTATATTTAAGATATATTTTTGATTACAGAAAAACTAACAGTTTCATATTTAGGTAAATTAATGAAATATTTGGTTTTGCCGTATGCTATGGCATTGCTGTCGATTTTTTACAATGGAATACATTTTTATATGCTGAAAAATAATTGGTTTTCATTTCTGCTAAATCTACCAACCACTAAGGGAGCCAACACAGAGTCGCATTAAGCCGGTTACAAAAATCTTTGATTATAAGAGCAAAAATGACGAACAGATAAATGTGGTTAACCCCAAAGGCGTTGCCCAGATTGAGCAATTTTGATCCTCGACTTTCGGCAACTGGCAATCCACAACTACCTGTTTATATGTCGTTTTCCACAATTTCATGAAACTGCGCAGACATAGACAATTCAGTTGAGAGTTTCAGTAATGAACAAGTTTGTGAGTGCCGAAATCTACGATTAAATATTTTACAAATTAATAATTGCCATATCTAGAAACTTGCAACTTTGTGCCAGTTGTCTCAAGTTGCCAATTCTCCAACTGGCAACCACTTTCTTCCTCTTACAACCATTAACATGGACTTGTAAAAATTGCGTCAACTAAAATTACTCCTTCTACGCAGCGCCTAATATTGTAACAATTTCCAGTCTTCCCATTGTAGTCAGACTCAACTGTTCCCATTATTGTTGTCACAAGAATTTGAAGATTTTTGTTCCAGAAATGTCTAACAAGACTTTGACAGTTGTGCCAAACCAAATTATACTTACAAACTCCTCTTAAGATCACATTTAAACAGGCAATGTCAACAACTTAAATTAAAATCATCAAAAAACATGTTACAAATTCCTTTATTTACAAGACCAATAAATTAAAACAAATTGTTCACAAATATTTACACCAAAAAAATACAAATGTTCCTTTGTTACACCTTTTGATAAGAAACACTTATTTCAGACTTGTTTTGGAACAATTCAGTCTTTCAATAAAATCAAAAGGAAAACTGGATTTCTTCATCCTACTATAAGTCATTTCATGACAACTACCATATTTGTTGTAAGAAAACAGCTATATTGTTTCCACAATGTTTTATTTTAATTATAAGATCTTGAACGAGATCGGCTCTGAGTTGTGACACTAATGGTACTTTTATTGCTAAGGTACCTGTCAGCGGCAAGGGGTCCATATAACACGATTACACTGATCTAAGCAAATTTATTCTATATGTTATAGTAGGTGTTCAACATTATGTTATATTTGTTACAAACTTTATACACTAGCTTCTCTTCTTCAACCTTCCCTTTGCCACTCGTACTTAGTTGATTCATAATATGTAACCCGTATTATAAATTCAGTATGTCTTTAAATCCATAAGGTACAATTAGGACCTGTATTTGCTAACACTGCCTGTCCCCTTTACATTCAATCATCAGATTCGTAGAATTCTTTTGCAATTGCCTCAAATATTTCAACTTAGCCCAAACACCTTGGCACATTCGCACAAGTCGTTTATCTTTAGTGTTTACACCAAATATATATACATTACGGACAATGTATCGTGATAATTTGAGATTGTTCTTCTGTGCTTGTGACAGTGCTGAATAGAGAATACTACGTGCTGCTAGACTGTCATCGCCTAGCATTTTTGATAACTTATATTGACGAACTGATATTTTGCCTGCTTCTTCAGCCTGGAAAAATATATATAAGCATATATCAATAATTACATACCAACTTATAATATAAAGTGTTGTCGTTTATATGGAAAATATACCTGGGGTAGTTCAAGCAATTCTAGTCTTTTACAGCATGTATTGCTTTAACTGTTTACTATTAACCTTTTTTTATGATATTTTTTATGTTGGGATGAGGATGAGAACAAGTCATGTGTGTGGTGGTAAACAACACACCTGTCCATAACAGTTGCAGTGCCACTCAGAGCTTTCAATCACAATGATCTGAGGGGCACTGCCATTGGGACCGTCACCCATAGACATAAGTTGACAAGTCTCATGTGGTTGTAATTTCAAAAGCAACTTTCAGAACCGTAACGCAGTTGTGCTCACATTACTGCTTTGCAGCAGAAATAGGAAACGTGGCCCCTGGACGAACTCTTTGACGAGGAACTTTACAGTAGCAGTAAAAACTCAATATTTTGGGGCAGCTTCATACTCTGTGATCACTGGTTGATGTACAGAAAGAATATTAAACAGTGAGGTAAGTGTAGTTAATAACTGATATCATAATTGTATATGATGACTTACACAGTGTTCAAAATAGTCACCAAGAGCAGAGTAAGCTCCACCAAGAGTGGAGAGCCAGGAAAATGCATTCTCTATCTCTATCCTTGTCCATAACAACTTTATCAATTTTTCGTTCCTGAAAGGAATATCAGTGAATGAGTCACTTAGTCAACTTACTTCAAGCAAGTTGTCAGTTAGGTTTTTTTCTCATAGTAATGCTTTAAGGCAAAGCAATATAATTTGCCTAAAAACATCAAATCCACCATTATATGTTTGTGCTTAGGCCATTTTGCACCAAGTGACAAGACAATCAAGTTGTACTCCTGTTGATAAGCAACACACCCGTCTACAGCAGTTGCAGTGCCACTCAAAGGTATAAATCGCAAAGATCTGAGGGCACTGTCACTGTCCGTCACCCTGAGGTGTAAATTGACAAGTCCCATATATTGACAAGGCCCGTAATTCCATCAAAACCCTTACTCCTCAAAACCAGAATGCAGTAATACTCACATTTCTTTTTGACGGCAGAAATAGGTAAGGTGGCAGTATTTCCCTGGTTGAGCTCTTTCACACGGAGCTCTACTGCTACTAAGGAAATACCATCACTATTTGAAACAAACTTACCAAACATAATCAAGAATCTCTTTATCAGGAGGTTCAAGTATTATCAGAACATACAGAACTGCCCTTGCCGACTTCCGGGCAATTTTATTGAAAAATTGCATCACTTTTGTTCTGTATATTTTCGATTTCACGCATTCCTTTACAAATGGTTGAAGAATCAATGCATTAACTTTATAAACTATAGGTTTAACTTTATCTTCATCGGCTAGTTCTATTTCGCAACACTCTCCAGCATTCACACCTATAGCTTTATAATACTTTTCATCTGGTAATAAAAAGCACTTCTGAGAAATGTAGCAAACTGTGTAGGGGCTATCGAAAAGACGAAGTTTTGCCACTAGCTTCATTTTTAGGACAAGATTACTTTAAATGTTGACAGCAAAGTTAAAATATAATTTATGTTAGTGGTTTCCTGTATAGATAAACGAAATTAAATATTATATACTTAGGCGAAAATGTTGCCGAAAAATACTTGCAAAAACAGAAAATCCAAAAATATCAGATGATAATGACATTGACACATTGACAGTTTAATGTGCATAGTATTTTTTTAATTTTGTTTTTAAGCCATTGGCTTTGGCAGTACGGTACCATATAAAATAGGTATTAAATATTCCTTTTATTCCATTTTATAATCCTGACTTGAGCAATGAGTAGAGTTCTGGAAAACGACCCTGATGGTCGTATTCCAGAACTTTACTCAATGCTCAAGTCAGGATTTGAGTATGGTTTAAAGCATTCAAAATCATACTCAAGTCCCTGCCATTAGAGTCGTATTTCCAGTGCTTGTGTTTTAATTGCAAACCTGACTTGAGCATTGAGTAGAGTTCTAGAATACGACCCTGATGCTCGTATTCCAGAACTCTACTCTATGCTCAAGTCAGGGTTTGAGCAGACTTGAGTATGATTTCAAGCACTGGAAATACGACCCTAATGGCAAGGACTTGAATATGATTTTCAGTGCTCACTGCAATACTCAAGTCCTGACTTGAGTATTGAGTAGAGTTCTGGAATTCGACCCTTAGAGTCGTATTCCAGAACTCTACTCAATGCTCAAGTCAGGACTTGAGTGTGATTTAAACCACTAGAAATCACACTCAAATCCTTGCCATTAGGGTCGTATTTCTAGTGCTTGAAATTATACTCAAGTCCTAACTTGAGCATCGAGTAGAGTTTGAAGTACAACCCTGAAAATAAAAAAAATAGTATTTATTTATCTATTTATAAAGCATTGGCTTCAGAGCTATCAGCTTAATAGTAACAAATAATCTTCAAATAATCAAGAAACGCACAACGTAAACACAAACTAAAAATTTATTCGTGTAAAAACGTAACTCGTATAATCAAAAAAAGTGTATATATTTTTTTAAACTTACCTTACTCACATAGCCTAAACTACGCTAAAGCGAGAAGTTGCTTTTATTTGTTCTATGTCATCTCTTTCTCACTACTCTAAAATATTAAAATAAGTACACAACCCCGATCATCAGCCATTTTGATTTTTCCTGTCGCTTGACAGGCCGGTGTTGGGGAATATTAACGTTTTTATTCCTTTTTCACCACAATTTCAATACCTAAATTTGTGTTAATGAAGTGATAAGTGAGACAACAAAATGGCTCGATACGGTCAGAGACCGGAAAATGCCCTTAAACGGGCCAATGGTGAGCACCAATTCTTTGTAAAATTCCACGTTGCATGTGCCGACGATGTCATCTCTTTTTCGCAATCAGCGTCTCTACGTGGCTTGTAGAGTTCGAAAATCACTTTTATCTGGAAGTGGAATTACTGAACTTGTTACAAATTAAAATTTTTCCTTTGAATTCAAAATACTTTTACATAACCAAACAACAATGCAACTGGCTTTTTTCTCGGTCTTCAGAGTTTATGGACCTGGACAAACCGGCAAGGGCCCTGGACACGCTGCAGGAAGTTTTCCGAAACAAGAAATGGGCGTACAATTGGTCGGAATCGGTTCTCGAACCGATCATGTTCAAGTATCTGGAGCTTTGCGTGGACCTTCGCAAGTCGCATATCGCGAAGGAGGGGCTATTTCAATATAGAAATATGTTCCAATCAGTTAACGTTGGTTCCTTAGAGCAGGTCATACGGTAAGGATCATTCTTTGTTACATTCCATGGTTCGGAATTCCATTTAGTTAATCTTTGATGTACTACTAAAAGTGCGCAGTGCATCATTTGACTATTCTATGCATGGACATGTTAATGCCATAGAAATTTCATGATTTTTTTATGTTATGTGATGGCTTGAACAAGTTGTGCACATGATGGTAAGCTACACGCCTGTCCGTGACAGTTGCAGTGCCACTCAAAGCTTTAAATTTCAAATATCTGAGGAGCACTGTCACTGCCCCCATCAGCATGAGACAAGTTGACAATTTCCACATGCCTGTAGTTCCACCAGCACCCTTACCCTTCAATACCAGAACGGAGAAATACTTATTTTACTGCTTGGTGGCAGTACTTCCCTGGACAAACTCTTTCACAAAAAGCTCTACTGCAACTAAATTTACCATTTCAACATCAATGCGAGGCAAATAAAAAACTAAGGTAGTGAATGATTAAAAATTTACACACTTGCAATATTTAGAAGAAAAAAAATGAGCCCTAGTTAGTCCTAGTCGCCCTAAATCCTTATTAACGTTTCTGACAACGCTTGTAAGTGGTTTATTATGAGATATTAGTAAAGTATATTACAATAACTTAGGAAATGCTATCAAACTGATGAATTAATTGGTCACTTACATAAATTAGATTTATATGTCGAGTTCTTAGGTTCTTAGGCGATTGTTACACATAGGAAATGAAACTATTTTTCCGGATTTAAATTGCGTATATTTGTTTTTTCAAACAAACCAACGTTTCGGGCCCTTTACAGGTCCCATGGTCACGGTTGACTGAGGTGGTACAGTCTTCAACCAGTTATGTCTAATATTGATGCAAACCACCCTATTTTTTCACTATAGATACAATAGTTATTAATTAAATACCTTATTTTTAATTTTACAAAGAAAACATTCCAATTTAGATTTATATGAATAAGGAAACAGTAGAACATGTTTCAAAATAGTAAAATACTATTAACTTCTACTTTTGCAGAAAATACTTTTACTCATGCAGAAACATAAATAAATTTGTCCATATTGATATTCTATTGAGTGACGTTACATCTCTAGCACAACTGAAGTGTGATACACACTATTTAGTGACACAAAAGGAGACAAATTGTCGCCTTTCTTTCTTAAACTCATGTTTTTTAAAGCACAAAGTTTCTGAAATGCTAAAAATGGATTATATGTACAAAGAACAATGCCCAAGTTCCATACAGTACTGGACCAGCTAAAAAAAAGTTGACGTCCATCAATCGCAGATACAGGGATTTATTCGTATTCCCATAAACTTTCTAATGACACTGGATTTATATTTTTTTAACTAAGGAAAAGTCATATAATGTACATTTTTGTTTTTGAGGTTATAACCGCCCAATGCATTAGCTTAAGTGTAGAATTTAATGTTATTCTGTGGTAGGTACTGTAGGATAGGCTGTATGGATTGTATTTAAAACTGGCTGAATAAATAAAGGTTTGTATTTAGAATTGTATAAAATAAAAGAGCATTGTGGTAAAGTGAAGATGGCGGTTGTTCTGGACAAATCTTCAAATTGAATACACGCAATAAAGTTTTATTTATGATTATTTTAGTGCCTCTCGTTACGCTAACCCACGGCTACGACCCTTACAGTACAGTCGCGGATATATCATTCTAGTTAGATATTCATTCTTTCGACAGACGAACGGTACAAAGTCGAAATACAAGTGTTACGGTTAAGTCCATGACTGTACCTAGCTTCCAAATATGGAGTTTAGTAGGAATAGAAATTGTAATAAGTACTCATGCATGTCATTTCTATTCAATGACTTGATTTTAAAACTTACGTACCTACTTGTAATAAATACACATGCTGATTTGAAAATATTTATCCTTTTCGGGAGCCGGTAAAATAAAAGCTTATTTGTATTCCTCATTCTATATTGGTTCTTATAAATATGTCATCCATAAATGTTGCCGGGGCGTTTACATTTCCCTGGTGTCTCGCCCATCCGAGGTACCATACTACGGTCATCACGTGAGCACAGCAGCCCAAAGTGCGTCGCCCAACTAAACAACTGCAACAGTATTGAACAATGCCTTCCCTCCCATTAACGTGATTTTTAACAATAATATAAATAAAATATTGTTTTCTTCCCACATGTCTTGATCTAATTTTACCTCGGATAAGCGAGAATTCTTCACTACTTAATTCTAATTCCGACATATTGAAGAAATCCGTCATCTCTCTGCACACCTCTATTCGGTAGTCACCGTGAAAACGGATATGCTCTCCATAGTATGAGGCAGCTTGTCTTAGCTGATAAGTGCCAAGAGAAAATAGTATCAATTCAGAGTACTCCATGTGAGGAAAACATAAGAGGTTTCCCTGATTAGCACTTATATTCGCGAAGTTTGACGTTCTTCTGTTAAAATTGTAATTATCAACAATATTGGCAAGCATGTTAGGAAGGTGCATTCTTTCATTAATAATATTTAACATTTGTTGAGCATCATCACGGTCTCTTAATCGTTTCGCAAACTTGTTTAGTAAAGCGGCAGCTATTTGGAAATCTTGCATCATGTGAGGCATGGATTTATTAAAATACTGCTGTCTAAATAATTTGAAGTCTCTTTTAAAATATCCATTGACGACTTCTACCACCCACCTGGTAATAGTAACACAACGGCTTTGGTTTGCCTGTTCTGTGGTCAATTGATATTGACCTTCCAGTAATGACGCTGGCATATATGGTTTAAAATGACAGTCTTCTATAAGACCAATGCTATCACGGAAACCTCTGTCCAATATAAAAATATCACCTTCTTGGAAATACTCCCTAATTGACGAATTTTCTCCAGTCAACATATCAATCATTATTTGAGCATCCGATGTTGTGGCTTTGTATGGACCATAACAGTCCAAAATATACCCATCACAAAGAACAATTAAAAACGGTTTTAACAAATTCCTATATTTGTGCAGAGAGTACGAATCCTTCTGGAATGAATAATTGCTACTTTTGTGTGTGAAGATATATGTGCCATCACAAATTATTATGGGATGTACACTGTCTCTGTTAAAAATCCCATTAGGAATGAGCAAATTATGCTCTAGGATTTGCTCCCTTCGTAAATGATTAATACCCAAGTTTCTGGGAACAAAATCTTGTAATAATATTTCCCTGACATTTTTCATGAGCCTTTCCAGAGTACTTCGACTTATTTTCATCAAAGATGCGATTCTGTTATCAGAATCGCCAGTCCTGAATTTGATTAATAGTCCTACTAATCCTGTTATACCTCGATGTGTTTCACGAATTCGTGGGACTTCATTCAAAATAACTTGAAAATTGTCTTTGGTGAGGCCAATCCAATATTGGAAAAGATGATCATTCATATTAAGCACATCATTAAAATTAATTGGCCTTTCCACATTTATGAATGAGAACAAATGTTCAACTTGATCCACCGTAAATACCGCAGAACTGTTCTGGGAATGGTACAGCATATCCCAACTATTTTCACTTAAATGTTGAGAGCAAACTCTGGCAAGTACTGGTATGTAATAATGGTAATCTTGAATGACATAAATTCTTAAATCATCATTTATCCTATGTAGGTTGTTATTGCCACAGTTAGGAAATATGCAATGAGCAGCACTGTTGGATGCATGCCTATAGTTTTGCAAAGTTATGGTATTGGTTGGCTGTGGTTGCACTGGTACATGCGATTGATGCCTTGGAGCACCTACAGGTAACCATTCTGATGATCCAGATGATCCTGTTCCACCTGAAGTCTGTACAGATTCTGTAACTTGTGGTTGTGCCAAAATGCTTAGTTGCTGTCCTTCTGCTTCTGGTTCTTCCAGTGGTAATGCAAGTTCGATTGCTGGTTCATTTTCAATAGAGGGCTCAGGCAACTCTTGACTGTCACTATCAGCCTGTGGCATTTGCTGAAGTATGCGTGCAGCCATCCTTCGTGTTTTATGCCAACAAGGATGACAGACACGATCATTTGTGGTAATCTGAAACCATACATACTACTTAGAAGGTTAGCCTTTACTACAAAGGTTTTAGCGAAAACTCAAATGTTTCAACTGAAAAAACTAGTTTTGTTTGTATTTTTATGAAAGTTCTCAGATTTTAACGATGTAATCTTATTTACTATTTGATTGATTCTGCTTACTACTTATGCCATTGGGTGGGTGCCCATCCCACAGTTTATATAGGTAAAATAAAAACATTGATTGAATATAAAATATCACACTTTAAGTACAAGCAAATATTGATCATAACTAATAAAAAGATGTTAGATTCTTGCCTGATTTAATGAGATTGAATCAGTTATAACAGCAACAATTTGCTGCTGCAGCTGATTGGGATTAGAATGCAATATAACATCACTGCGTCTTCTTAATATAGAACAACCACACAGTAAGCATACTCTAGAGTGTCCAATTGCTTGAGATGTTCCTGGTTGATTATCAATATTGCTTACATTTTCTCTTTGCATGTTTTCATTAACATTTCTCATAAAGATATGACAACAAGCTTGGCAGATTAAGTCATACTCAGTCAACTGTAATTTAAAAGAATTACATTAGTATGTGCATTTCAAAATTCATGTGATATTATACTATGTCTACTGTCGTTTTATTATGTAATATATAATAAAACGTATATAATAAACGTAAATAAGTATTATAATGTTGGTTAGCACTTACGATATGTGGCGCTACTCGTTCAGCAATTAAAGATATAACCCTTGTATCCAACTCTAGAACAAGGTTCCGCCACATTCGATTAAGGCGTATTCCACAATTTACACATCTACAAATTGAATCTTCCATTTTGGCCAATTTGGTCAAAGTTCCAAAACGTAAAGCTTATCGAGGTCCAAGTTTACAAGCGCCAAGTTCACGTTAAGTAAGACTTATCGGTGTCCGTAGTAAAAGCCAAAGGTGTTCACGCTAAGGAAGACTTTTCGGTGTCCGTAGTAAAAAGCCAAAGTTGTCAGAAATCTCGAAAAACTTACAAAATCGCACAACAAACAAAATCACTTTTCAACCACCTGAGAGCGCGAAGGCGCGAAAAGCAGTGTCTTTCGTTTTACGGTGTCATTTTGACAATGTAAAGTCAAGCTGCGTTTACACTTATTCCATAGAAAGTCATTCGTACAGGTACCATTCCTTAAGTTACATTGTATTTTGAGTTCTTAATTTTTTGTTGTCTTTTTATACTTTTTATACTAATTGATGCCTATAAAACCAAAGCGCAATAAATAAGCAAAAAACATAAAAACTGAGATGAATATCGTAATTTCGTTTAGAATTGTCTCAACATTCAAGAAATCACGGCATGTGTAAACGAGACTTAAACAAAACATCAAAGTGTAAGTTACACTGCGTTCAGAAATTAGTATTTACAATGCATTCAATTTCTTTTTTAACGTGGTTTTAATTAACGTGGTTTTAAAAAAATATTTCTTTTTTTCTCCGTGTTATTTCAAAGTTTTATTAATGACAATGAGATTATTTGATTACGTATTTTAAAATAAATATAACTGTTCAACCGGTCGCGACATCAAAATTTGCTGGTCCAATATGGGCATTGTTCTTTTGCAGGCTGATGTCACATCACATTTCCTTCATAATCACACACTGGCTTTTACCTATTCTTAAAGTAATGCGTCCAAATTAACAGCCTTGATAAGAAATTTCAAATAAATAGAAATGTTTGCCATCTTGTGACTAATCATTCTTTACAAGATACGATTTTGAGAAAGTAAATCATCAAAATGTGAAATAAGAATTTTGGCTGTCCATATGAAACTGAAATGTAATATACTTATAATAACACTAATTCTACATATACAAGTGTGATGACTCTCTTAACCAATATGCCACAAGAGAACAGTGTCCTCGTCATGTTTTGCTCTATGGCTGTTACAGTTGTTACTTTGATTATATCTATACTTTGTTTCAATCCATTTTAAACAAAAAGTAAATAAACAAGTCACTGTCCTGACCATAGATGGTTTAGTAATGCCAATAACAAATCGATTAATGAATTGAATTAATTGATTTGTTCAATTACAACTAACGGTTCGATTTACTAATAGATTACAAAAACTTTAATTGACTGAACCAATTTTTTTTTTTTTCGTTCAGCGCTATGCAACCATATACAAGCCATAGTTGAAATAACCTCAATTTTGGACTACCATATTTCAAATACGATTTTACAATGCTATTCAAATATATATTGTTGGAAAAAAAAAATATACTTGAAAGTGTTACTTATACAATTAATTAAGTGATTGCTTTAAAATTTTAACCAACAGTTTTGTTTATTTTTTGTTTAAAATAGATTGGAATAGACTAAAATTTCTAAATTTTGCAACTGGCAATATTTACCTACCTGTCATTATATTGTTATTTCAATATTATGAAAATAAATACATGACAACATTTTACATGTAGAATAAGGTAGACGCGTTATAAGCGCTTCAAATGCGACATAAAAAAATCAAGCTAATTGGCCAATATGAGTTCAGTCCCTCAATGAACTTTGAAGTTGCCGAATGCCAGAAACGTCAGAGACTATCAATCAAATTGCAAAAACTGCCGTCTTGTGTTACTTATAATTTTTTTTTTTTTAATTAAAAAACAACTTCATAATAAACATGCACATGGAACATATAGGTGCACTGCAGTATCAAAAGCCAGAAAATACTTATAATTTGTGAATTAGTCAGTTTGTGATGCCCAACCAGCATAAAATCATTTTCCATATTTTGTAAACAGAGGTTATCTCCGGATGGCAGAGGAGCGTACAGAGGCAGCAAGAGCTCAATCAACCCAAGCAGTCATTGACACTGACGACCTCGACAACCTAGCTACTCCAGAGAGCATTCTTCTCAGTGCTGTGTCTGGAGAAGATGCTCAGGATAGATCTGACAGGACTATCCTTACTCCATGGGTGGGTTTGATCTTCTATTTTGTTATGTGTATTACGGTTATAATTACTACTGTAACTAAGTAAATTACATTATTTTAGTAACTGGATAGAGGCGTGATCCATAAGTCAGGTTTTACCTTGCTTGTTCACTAGTCTCCCATTATAGCATAGTTGACATCTATATTTGTTAGCAATTTGGAGAAACAAATTAAGAAATATAATTAAATAAGCTGTTAATGCAAAGCCATAACAAGAGTTTCCCATGGATTACCATTTTTTAAGTATTTTTTATGAGACTCATTCATGATTTTGGATGAAAAATACTGCACTAAGGTTGCCTGAATGAGAATGCTGTCTAGCAATAAGGTCCCCTGTTGCATCTAGTCTTGTAACTTTTGTGAGACTCATTCATGATTTTGAAAGAAAAATATTGCACCAAGGTTGCCTGGACGAGAATGCTATCTAGCAATAAGGTCTCTGGTTGCACATAGTCTTTTGTTTCACTGTATTTTGTTCTTGTAAGGATAAAAAAGTCTGTACAATATTTTTTTATCTTTACACTGCAACAAAGTAGTGCCAATCATGGGTTGCTTATTGGTACGATGGGTGCCACTGCACTATTGCAGTTAGTAATTTGTATTTATAATAAGAAAAATATTTTCAACTCTTCAGCTATAACCCTTTTGTTATATCGTGTATATCCCCTTTAGCTGGAATGGACTGAACTTTGTGCCAGAGAAAAGGAATTTATTTAATGAAAATTTAATTATTAAATACTCGCTTCGTCATAATCTCACCAATGATAAGTGACATCGTGACCCGCTAAGATATTCGTTTGTCTGACAAAAATTCATATTTCTCAAATTGTTATTTATGGAAAACAAGAAAACATGTGAGCATTTTATTCCGTTCCTTTGCCTTACGCATTAGGAAGAAAGAAGCATATTGCTTCGCGTGAATGGGTAGCAAATCATTAACATATTTGTGTATTTTAAAATTGAGATTGACATCCAATAGTAAGGGACACTCTAATAATTAATTTTAGTAGAGCACATTCTTCATCCTTTTGGATGCAGAATTTACTACATCTACTAACTGTTAGTTTAGAATAGAAATAATTTATTCACACACACACGCGCGCGTGCACACACCCCTCTCAAACCCAACAAGATCGTCTCGTCAACGCCTCAGCTGTTCACGCAGTCTCTTTTCATCCTCGGGCACCCAAGGCGTGACGACATTCGCCCACTTCTCAAGTTGCAATCGGCTAACGTGGGCCACGTTAGCCCAGTCCCATTTTATCTCATAACAAATAATAGGAATAAAAAACTTAAATAAATAATTATGTACAAAATACAAATTGAACATAACAAGCAGCGTGTGCACTGTGCTGTTACGGAATCCGTCATCCACTCAGCTTAAAATCAAATCAACAGTGAACAACTTAATCCACAGGTTAAATTCCTCTGGGAGTCGTACTGCCAATGCCTAGAGCTGCTCCGTACGAACGCACACGTGGAGACCTTGTACCACGACATTGCGCGTATGGCGTTCCAATTTTGCCTCAAGTATTCACGGAAAACTGAGTTCAGGAAGCTCTGTGACAAGTTGAGGAAGCATCTCGAAGATATTTGTAAGCCTACTGTGAGTATTCTTAAGTATTTGTTGTTGATTTCAATTGCCGTCATACCGTTTTCGAAAGTTCAAGTTGCCAATTTGAGTTTCACAGTAACAGGTAAATATTATTATTATAGAGTAACACCTGTAATAATGGGACTTATCAACTCATGTCTCAAGGTGACAGGCGCAGTAGCAGCGCCCTCAGATCTTTCCGATTTAAAGCTCTGAGTGGCACTGCAATTGTTATGGACAGGCGTGTAGCTTACCTTTAGGCGCACGACTTGTTCAAAGTCAAAGATTATTTATTCCATAGGTAAAATAAACTTACACTAGAAAACGTCACATTTAAGCTACTGCTCGTTCACTACGCTGACCTCCCTGAGAAGAACGAGCAAGAAACTGTAGGAATTGCTCTTTTCAAATAAACTTAAATGCTATGGATTACACTTTGAATCAAGTTTGTGTGGATTCTGGAGCCGTGTCGTCTTTCTATACATCTTTATCTAACATGTAATCTTCAATTTTGTAATATGATTTTTCAATCAAAATATTTTTAATGTAGTTTTTAAACTTAGGAAATGATAAACTTAATATATGCTCCGGAATCTTATTGTAAAAACGTATACAGTTCCCCATAAAAGAGTTGTTTACCTTGGTTAAACGAAATCGTGGTACCATGAGTTTGGACTTAGCTCTAAGGTTAATATTATGGATATCTTCTTTCTTATGGAAATTATGTATATTTTTACGGGCATATAAAATATTTGAGTAAATGTACTGTGTCACAGTCATGATACCAGTCTCCTTAAACTTTTCTCTGAGAGAAACCCGAGAGCCTAGACGGTACACAAAACGCTCGTTCGTCCCGTCACTTGATATTATTATTTAAAAAATCCATTAAAATAACAACCTTAACTCTAAAAGTAAATATAATTATGTCGATCTGATATTGACAAGTTTTAAAATAATATTGAATATTGTTGCATAACCTTCACCAAATATTAACTTGGATATAAATTGTTTAAGTTAAGAAAAGTCTCAGAATTTTTTTTTGTGATTGCAACAGGTTCAAACTGGCAATGTTAGTATCTCCAAGCCTGAAACCCAACAGCTCAACCTGGAGACGCGTCTCTTCCAGCTCGATAGCGCTATCCAGATGGAACTTTGGCAGGTAAGTTCACATTTAGTCTGTTACAAGTTTTCATTGACCAATATACCTCGAAAATTAGAAAAAAAAACAATTGATTGGAAAAACAAAACAATTGAGTGATGTGAACAAAAACGTTAAAGACTCAGCATTGCTAATTGTCAGTTTTCACCTGCAGCTAGCTGTTCGTTTGCTACACCGAGCTAATATGCGGAGTACAAATAGAACATAAGTTTTCCCTAATAGATCTAAAGACATCTCTGAATATCCAATTGTTGCTTTTATATTCTGCTACTACTAGAGGTAGCTGGGAATGCCGGAGCACAGTTTGGGCTCCTGTCTTTGTGGAAACAAGCACTATGCAAGTTCAGTAATGCACCAATAGGTGGCGCTTTAATTTTGTAAGGAAATTTGTAAGTTCAATGAGTGCGATCTCTTGCTCGCGACAAAAATACAAATTAAGGAAACTACAATAAACAACGCAATGTACATAATTAAATGTTTACGAAATAAACATTATGTCCTTGTTCCTATAATGTAATGAGTGAAAGAAAACCAGTTTGGATGCGTTTCTACCACGCTCTAGAATGATGTCGCAGCAGCCATGCACATGATGCAGCACAGCATGATGAGGACATCATCAGTATAATTCTCAACATGTTCTCAAATTAACAGGAAGCCTACAAAGCAATAGAAGACATTCACAACCTAATGAACATGTCCAAGAAGACTCCCGTAGCCAAAACCATGGCTAATTATTATGGGAAGCTAGCTCTCGTCTTCTGGAAGGCTGGACACTGCTTGTTCCACGCTGCTGCGCTTTTGAAGCTCTTCCAACTATCTAGGGAGATGAAGAAGAATATTACGCAGGAGGAATTGCAGAAGTAAGTTTATATAATTGTATTTTTTTTGTGAAATTAATAATGACATTTGACAACAATGTCACCTAAATGGAACGTGAAGCTGTGGACGCAGATCATACTTGTTTGTTTAGAAGATGTCTATTCATTCGAACCTTATGATTTTTTTTCTTTCTTACCACCATACGGTGTATGGTGTTTAGGAAGAAACCTTCAGCGATTGTCGTTTAGTAGATAACGAAACTCAAAATTCTACATCATATGGTCTTAGTTGCCTCCGAATTAAATCCCATTTCTAACTTTCTCATAGTTAAGGAATGGTAGGCCTCGGAGGGACATCATACCTGTTGGCTAGACGCGACAGACTGTACGCAAATTGTACAGTTTGTGTTAATTATTGTCTGCACATAAAGCTGTACTAGACATTCTTAAACACAGTACCAATACTTATTATATTTTTTTTTTATCAAAGCACATTCCAAAACTTCAAAAATTGAAACATTGCAACATTGACTTACAAATAAATGGACGACGGGTCTAATACAAAAACAACGAAAAAAATGTCCCAAGTCAACCTATTCGAAATTTAAATTGTTATGTCATCGCAGTATCGCGCTGTCCGTAGAACAAATGAAGACTAAAGCGGAGTGTCGCGCTCTGTATACGATTTTAGCGCCTTACAAGTGCGGACACTTTTTAGCGCGGACGTCATTATAATTGTAAGTCAATGCATTGCAAATATTATTTTTTATTATTTCAATATTCACTTCAAGTTGATTTTCAAGTTAAAAGCTTAGTTTTAGCATACAATCGGTCCCTAATGAGAAGGTATCAATGTAAAATCGATGTTTTAACAAATTGACTGGAGATAACATTTAAAAATGACAGTTTATTTCTTTTTTCTTTTCAAAGTGTCAGGAGCCTTCTTGTAAACATAGCAATATCCTTTATATTTGAACATAAAAGTAAAGTGTGGTAACTCTATACATACGTAGCATATTTTTTTTGTAATACCAAGTTGTGCGCCTGTTGGTAAGTGACACGCCTATCCATGACAGTTGCAGTGCCACTCAGAGCTCTTAGAGGCATTGCCACTGTGCCCGCCAACGTGAGACATAAGTTAACAAGTCCTATGTGCCTGTAATTTCACCAGCACCCTTCCAAACCCGTAGGCAGTAATGCTCACATTACTGCTTGGCGGTAGAAATAAGTAAGTGGCAGTACTTCCTTACAGGAACTCTTTCTTAAGGAGCTATACTGCTACTAAAGTACAACATGAAACATACTACGTGTCTGCGCGGCGGTTGTGCGTACATGCAAACCGCGCCGCTACGTTTTTATGGGATTACCATACCTGCCTTGTTATTCTTTGGCCTTGAGTCCTTTCATTATAAGATTCCGTGTCAGTATTCTTTTTATTTGATCTAATAAATTTACAAATTACAGTCATGCCCATTTGCACAGACGCAAACTAGACTTAATTCAAGTTCTTTGCATCTGTCTCTTAGGCTACTCATAAGAAAAGGTCAAAAGGTTTTATTCTAGTTTACAGCGGTCAAATTTCGACAGCTACTTGTAAATTGACACATACAAATGCACGCCGATTTTGGGATTATACTGCCTGCGAAAAAAGGCACAACTAGGCGTACTTTAATCAGCAGTTGTGCCTTTTTTCATTCTGAGGGATTTTTTATACTGCGTATAGTCTGCGAGACTTCTGCTAATTTGTTAACATTATGGTACATTGTGTTTTTCTTAATAAAGGAAGAGACAGACGCACTGATTTTACATCAATTTTGTGGTTTACGTGAATCGATACAATTACTTTCATTCTTAACACGATCGTTTTTAGTATGGGAGCTGTTTTACATAATTATTGGTATTGTTCTGTTCACCAGAATGGCCTGCCGCGTCCTTGTGGCAGTTCTGTCGGTGCCCTTACCGTCTCTGCATCCCGAATTCGATCGCTTCGTGGAGACCGACAAGAGCCCCGTGGAGAAGGCCCAACGGCTCGCCGTTCTGCTCGGGCTGGCCCAACCCCCTACTAGAGCCAACTTGTTGAAGGGTAATCTCATTTTATACATCATAGATTCAATGAAACTTGACATAAGTTTTAATTAATTTACTTCATGCGACATGGATTAATACATTTGGGGATTGCAGTGTCCTACTCTTGAGCAAAGCCTCCAGGCTTCCAACACTCCCAACTTTCTCTACTTAAATAACTAATTAAAAGAATTTAAAAATATATATATATTTCCGCATTTACAAGGTTTATGTATATAAAGGCTTCCTTCAGTCATATTGTTTTTCAATCTCTTATGTTGGTACATTTGAACCCTTGTGTGAATTTATTTCAGAGAACACTTGTATGATGAAGCTGTATGGTACATTATGTTGTCCTAGTAATTTACTAATTAAGATTCAAAAGTATAACAGTAGATTAGATAGTTATAGATCACAGTGATATAGGAAGAAGAAATAATTACAATATAGATGTTAACAACACGTGTGTTCATTGATATTAGACATTGCATTGATTTTTTCATATAGATGACAAACCTTACCATCTGACTAGATATAAAATAAAATGTCTATAAATTATTTCAAGTGATTTTATATTGCTATTATCGAGACAATGCTTTTTCCCCCAGATGTGGTGCGTCTGAATGTAGTAGGCTTGGCATCGCCGCAGCTGCAGCAGCTGTACGCATGGCTGGAGGTGGAGTTCGATCCGCTCACCATCTGCCACAATGTACAGAGCGTCGTCAAAGCACTCAACGATGATCCTAGTAAGTACAAGATTCTTTCTTTTTCTCCGTCAGTTGTTCCGCTTGTCAACTTTGAAATTATTTTGTATATATCGCACCCTTAGTAATATAAGGGCACAATCCAAAAAAAGTAGATTTTTGGGAAATTTGGGAATTGATAGGGACTTAAATAATAAATGGGATCAAACTTATATAGCTCCATATTTCTGTTATATTTTTTGTACTATATGGGTCTAATTTGAAAGTGTTTTTTTAACTTGCTTGAAACTTATGGAATTTATTTATATTATTTTTTTTTATTGCTATTTATAATACATTTATCAAAGAACAAATCTGCCAAATTTCATATTTATAACTTAAATAATAAGCATGTTATTTGAAAAAATAGGTGTAATGTAGGAATCCAGAATCTATACGCGATTTCCCAAAAATCTACTTTTTTTGGATTGTGCCCTTATATTACTAAGGGTGCGATATGTAATCTCAGTATAGACTACTAAAAAAACCAACCACAAAACTTAGTGGAATTATATATATTTACTAAGTTTTATTGAAATTGGTTACCGGAAAACGTGCGAAACCGGATTCGTCCCCTAGTTTGCCACCCTTTGAGGTGTAATATTTATTCAAACTGGACCAAGGAGGTACCCTCTTCTATCTAATTAAAAAAAACCTTCAAAACCGTTTTACAAAAGCCGGAGATATCGCGTAACATGCATACAAAAAAAAATACAGTCGAATTAAAAACCTCCTCTCTCTTCCCATAAAATTAAATGTTTCTTTTAGGAGCTGAATTGATCAGCAAATTATATATTCATTTATATGAACAAGACACGCTTGACTAAAAAATGTGTTATGACAAAATATATAGTTATTAATACAAAGATCGAGCACAAAGAAAAATTCCTTCGATCCTCAGCTGTGAACCAGTGATCTCGCTATACCAGGACAGTCCAGCTAGATCGAAGGAATTATTCTCTGTGTTCGCGTTTTATATTAACAATTATTACTAACTAGTGGAGTATATTTATATAACACCAAGTGCCGGGACGAACAAGTTGTGCACCGGATGGTAAACACGCCTGTCCATAACAGTTCTCTCACTCAACTCAGAGCTTTAAATTGCAAAGATTTGAGGGGCACTACCGTTGCGCCCGTCATCCTAAGTTAGCATAAGTTGACGAGTCCCATGTGCCTGTAATTTCACCACCACCTTTACCCTTCCAAACCGGAACACAGTAACGCTGACATTACTGCTTGGCGGCAGAAATAGGTAAGGTGGTAGTGCTACTCAGGACGAACTCCTTCACAAGGAGCTCTACTTCTACTAAAAGTAATTTTACAAAAAAGAGTTTCCCTGTATCTCCTGTGGTTTCGGATTTCTCTATACGATATAAAATTCACGCTGTATTAGCAGCTATAGTTTGTCTTTTTTGAAGATGGAGCAAAATGACAGTTCATTGCGTACAATGTGTTGCCAGCTTGCGAGCAGCTAGTGATTGCAGTCGATAAATATACTATCGACTGAATATTGGTCACGCTTATGGACTAAATAGCCGAACTTGTTTCATTTGAATCGTTAATTTTTGTAAGCTCATACATACATACACTGTCTTTAGAACTATGAATAGTACAAAGAGGAGACGTATTTTAATAAGTCAATATAGATAATCAAATCCAGATATTCGTGTTAAAATGTATATGAATGAAAATTGATCTCGATACTACTACTAGGCCATCTGTCCAAATAAAAATAAAGAAATCAATAATGCAATTAGTAATTATTAGAACATCCTAACATTCACAATTTAGTCATTTTTGGCAAAATTTTATCTTTCACAATCCATCGATAAAATTATTGACAACAACTACATAACTATTTAAACTTTTATGAAAACTGGTAACCCTACAAATGCCAATTTACTCCGTCTTCAAAAAAAACAGGCTATAGCATGTTATTATAATAGAATTTGTTAGTACTCTCAGTCTTAGAAGATGTGAAACTCTCTAAGCCCACCAACAATCTTGTCCGAACTGCAGCAGCTTGGTAATCTTATTGTCTTACAAATTCTTATTGTCATAATTTCCTTACAGATTCTCTCCTAGCCCAATACACTGTCGCCCTAACGGACGTAGCACTAGTCCGTCTCATTCGACAAACGGCTCAATGCTACGCCTGCATCCAATTTTCTCGACTGCTGGAGCTAGCAGGCACTGATGACTTGTTCCATTTGGAACGCCTGCTTGTCGATTGCGTGCGACATAACGATATGCAGATACGGGTCGATCATGCTAACAAGTACGTATCGCAATCTCTCTTTACTTTCTGCTCGCCTAGTACATTCAAGATCCATTTTGACCTTGAATGTACCGATTTTATATAATTAATATGAATCTTTAAATCTCTTTCAATTTCTGTTGACCTGGTATCTCGGGCGAGAAAGTTGTTGAAAGGTTGCGTTTAATGTTCATTTAACATTGTTGTTTTGTTCAGGTGTGTGCACTTCGGTGTAGAAGCTGGTGGGGGCGAGTGGTGCTCGACTGCTGATGAGGCGTGTGGAGGAGCCATCCTGCAGGCCACTCCGGCTGAGCAGGTACTGTCGTTTCCCCAGGATCTACATTATATGTTATTGTATTAAGAGCACCACATGAGCTACATTGCGACGACATCGCGACAATAGACACCCAAAATCATAATAACGTTTTTGCACATTAAAACTAGTACTGTCACTAAACCAAAACGCCAATTTTCGGGAAATGGCTAGTGGCGATATTGTTTTGAGCGTGCAATATCAATCCGCGAACGGGCTAATGAAGGAAAACGTGACGGTTCATAGCCGGAAAACGTGTGAACTCTCCAACCCACATATATACATATAATTTATAAGGATATTATCACCCATTGAATATAATCAATAAGAGGTATAACATAAGAGGTATAACAACAAATTGAAATGCATAATTTCAATGTGTATAATTAACCTTCAGTATAACAAACATTAGATATAATGATTAGGTAAAATAATGAACTAATGGTATAAGTATTACCAGTATAATGGTATTAAATAATATAACACATTTTTTCGTTTTACAAATAATTGTAGCGCCTAAGTGAATAAATTAGCAAATACACCTCTAAGAGAAACATGACGATTATTTATTTATTATTGCATGTGTTATATACTCCCGGACACATAATTTGAGCCAAACATGTTTGTCGTAAAGGGCTAGAATACAAAAATAGTGTTATTATCGAAGAAAAAGTTTTCCACTGTTTTACAAATCCAAATTCCGCACACGAGGACTTATGGAAAAGACGTTTATTATACTAGTTTCAAAATTGCATAATAGTTTTTGATCAATCGAACATTATTTAAGCTTAGGGCACTTAATACTGAAAATGCGTGGTGGCTCGAATTATGTGTCTGGAAGTGTATTTTTAAACCAAAAATATCATTTCTCATCGAAATACTAAATTATTTCGATGTAAATATATGAACATAAATAATTAATAAATCAACTTTATCCGTTGAGCGTTATATCGACCAAGAATATGTCATTTATTGTACAGTTATATCTTACGAACCGCACCCGTGACAAACAATTAAGCAACAATTTTAACTATGTAGCTTGACATGTAATGTATGGGGCTGTGGCGTACACAAAAAGATCTCATTTCAAAGCCACAGCCGAGAATAAGACTTTAGGACTTAGGATGTTTTTATTATCCAGGTTCGCGGGCAGCTGGTGCGCGCCGCCGAGGTGCTGACGCGCGCCGTCCAGACGCTGTACCCTCAGCGGCGACGGGCGGAGAGGGAACGTGCTCGGGCCGTCATGGTACAGCACTACCACGAGAACAAGCACGCCGAGCACCATCGCGTCCTACAGAGGCACAAGATCATCGAGGAGAGGAAGGAGTACATTGAGCGGCTAAATACCGTCCGAGAGGAGGAGGAATTGAGGTCAGTGGCGGCTATGGGTCACGAAGGGAAAGTAAATATAGCTTCATGGAGACATTTTATTTTTTAAATTTAGTAATACTGTTTTCAAAGACTTAAATTCATAATTCATTTGTGAAAATACAGGTTGCATAGAAGTTGACTGAGATATTTCACTGTGTCCAGCCAAACGTCAGACATACAAACATATTGAAAGTATTTTGTACACTTATTCATGCACTTCAACAGGATAACATATCATTCAGATTTATTGTGAAATAACTCCATTAGTTTTGTTACGATTATTAATACAAAGACCGAACACAGAAAAAATTTCTTTCGACTCGGTGGGACTTCAACTCACGACTCAACTCACGACCATGCTGCACCGTAGCTATTGTTCTTACCAACTGAGCCACAGGTCAAGTTACCGAGTTGTCGAAATTCTCCTGTTTTTTTTGTTATAGATCTTTGTATTGACTTTCGGCATTCGTCGCCGCTAGTGATGTCACTAGCGGCGACGAATGCCGAAAGTGAGAGATTTTGAAAAACCTCACCGCAGCCGGTTCCTTTACAGGTGCCTCAACTAACAGGTGTAACATGTTTAATAAGTTGCTGGCCTCATCTGGGGATCCAACCGATCAAATGTAAAATAGAAGCAATCCTGCATTTTTATGACATCGATCGAAACGATCAATTATAGGATAGTAGCATAGAACCTTAATTATTATTGTTTTCTTGGGTAATGTAGTTGATACTTTACAGGCGTCAAGAGGAGCAACTTCGCGTGGCGGCAGCGGCTGAAGCGCGTCGACAAGAACAAGAGCGCGAGGAACGCGAGAAGCGACGCCACGCCTCAGAGATGCAAGCCATGAGAGAGCGACATCTAAGAGAGAGAATGGCGCTGATCTCACAGACGCAACATGGAAAGAAGGTCCTGCAGAAGCTTGATGAAGAGGTGAGTCCAATGTACTAAATGCCAGAACAAAATTAACAAAACGGTAACCTATCACAAACTCGATTTTTTTTTCCGAAATAACGTTTGTTCGAATTATCATTAAACCGAAAACCGAATTATAACGAAACCGTTGTTCTTTCAAGATACGTTTATCAGAAAGACACGATTAGGTCCGGTTAGGTTAGGTTAAGTTAGGTTTAAAAGAAAAAACATTTTTCTCTCAAAATTAGTTTCGAGGTTATGAAAATTCGAGCAAACGTTTTTCTGGGAAATGTCATTTCGGACTACTGATAGGTAACCTAACAAAAGTAACTGAAGCAAAACATTAACTGGCCACGCATTTACGCCGCGGAAGACAATAGTGCCACTTCAGTTGAGATTTAGATAACAAATTTGACTTCAACTAAACAAAAATGGCGAGTTAAGTAAAACGAACTTTGCCTAATTTCAAGCAAGAAATTAAATTAAACTGTTGAATTTAGTAAAGTAAGTCGGTAAAAATTGAAACTTGTAAGATGTGTGTGTGGCCCTCATCCTGAGATATAAGTTGACAAGTCCCATGTGCCTGTAACTTTAACAGCACCTTTACCCTTCCAAACCAGAACGCTCGTATTACTGCTTGGCTGCAGTAATAGGTAAGGTGGCAGTACTTCCTCGTACGAACTCTTTCAGAAAGAGCTCTACTGCTACTAATAATTTAATAAGCGGTAAGAATTGAAAAGGTTGTAAACCCTAATGAGCCGTGACCAGGTTCACGGCAATAAAATAGGATACTTCGATCCGCAGAGAATTTATTCGTAATTAAATAGAAAGGGGAAAAAAGAGGCTGTAACAAAAAAAGGTATATATAAAAACAGGTACAACGCTGCAAAACACTCCCTACTTAAATACTGAACGTGAGACAGAACCCCGAAAGGGCCGAGTTATACAGTATTACAGATTGGTATTAAAACTGGCAAAAGAATAAAAATTAGACGCAATTAAAAATTAGAGCAGTACTGTTCGCTGCTGCGATCGAGCGATGGAACGAAACAAAATCAGAATGGCGACGCAAAGGTATTAAAGAACGATTCATAATTTAAAAACAAGTGCCCAGGAAGGCGATAAAAAGGTGGGATATTCAAAGTCTGTGTTTTTTTTAACAGGATCTAAAGAAAATGGACGCCGAAGCAATCGCGCAACGCGAGGCCGAAGAACTGATGAAGGAACGTCGCGAGCTTCAAGCGAGACTCAAATCACAAGAGAAGAAGGTCGACTATTTCGAAAGAGCTAAGCGCCTGGAGGAAATACCATTGTTGCAAAAGAGTTTAGAGGAGAAACAGGTTCAGGATAAGGCGTTTTGGGAAGCGCAGGAGAAGGAGCGTATAGCGCAACTCATTGGTGAGTTTCCTTATTAGTTTTATACGTTACACGTATTTTTCAGTGCCAAAAATTTCAATGTTGTTATTGGTACAAAGATCAAACAAACGCAAAAAAAATTCCTTGTATCTGGCTGGATTTGAACCAGCACCTGTTTGCCAGACCGGGGCTTAACGGGTTTGATGCGTTTATATTATTATTGAGTGTTATCACCAAACTAGTGGAGTATTTTCACATAACTAAATTAATATAATGGTAAAGTACGATTTGGGGCTATTCAAGGCTAAAGTGAATAAGCATTTTTAGGCAAATGCGTCCCATCGTTGGACACATCGTCGCTTGACATCACGTGAGATTGTGGCCAAGCGTGTGTCTATTATATATAAAAAAAAACGAGATTCAATTAAATAAATATTGCAATAATGTTGATAAATATAATAGTTATAGACATTTACAAATTAGTCGAAAACAGTGATACTTGTCAGTGACATCAAAACCTGTATGGTTGGTATCAAAGATATACATACGAATGTGAAGTATACATACTAATGATGATTGTATTAAAAATGTATATGGACCAATTAATATGTCTGGTGTTAATTCAGATATACAAAAAACTAATAAGATTAATTCATGTTCATGTGAAGTTGTTGAGTAATAAAAATTTTAATTTAAGGGGCAATTTATCGCTTCTATAATAAGATTGCTGTTGATATAAAAAATTTGCAAAGAAAAATTTTTATACGAGGTTTAAAACTATAATCAAACATAAACTTTATACTGAAGATGCATTATTTATATATGGCGATTAACACACTGCACCACGCCCCGCGACGGAGCGCGGAGCTGCGTTTTTTAACGTTGTACTGAAATACCTCAGTTTGTATGGAAAACACGCGCCGTCCAACACACTGACAACGCTTCTCCGGCGCGCGCGGTTTTACCGCGGCCGAACCGCAGGGTATGGCACACTGCGCTCCGCACTACCGCGCAGATTTTTAAGCTTAAGGACGTGTTCAGTTTTCTACAATGGATCTCGACATCGATAAATCTATATTTGGTATTGAAAATCGACCAGCAATTTGGAACATGACTTATAAAGAGTACAGTGAATGCGTCCAAAAATTGCTTGCGTTTATTCCAGTAATTGTCGTTAGGATTTTCCCTAACAAATAATCAAACAATTTGTAGTTGTTGACATGTGTGTAGTTGAAAATTTATCTTCATATTTTCTTATATCTTTGTAATGAAGTTGAACTGATCTATTTATCGATCTGGTTCGTAAAAAGGGATATATATAATATAACAAAAACCAAATACACAGTATAACTGCAGCATCCTGAATGAGTTCTGTATTATTAACCATTCTTGTGAAAGAAGGATCTCGGGTACATGTACAAACTACGAAGTGAATACTTCAAGTGGCGCGGGGCCGCTGGACCGCTTCCCCCGCGCAGATTAAACCGCGTGTTGACGCATATCTGCGTCTCCGCAACCGCGCGCGTGATTCCGCGTCCCGCGCACCGTCGCGTGGCGCGGTGCAGTGTGTTAATCGCCTATGTGGTTAATACAGCTTTTGCTTACTTGGATTACAATAATTCATGGCAGTAACCCGTTTAGCTCTTGCAGGTTGTCTGGATCTATGATATTTGATATAAATATATTGTTAATGATAAATGTGTACAAATATTTACAGAGAGCAATCCCTAGAGTTTCTTATTACGTTTCTAAGGGGAAGCTGCCTAGTGAATGAGTAGTAGATTTTAATCAAAGATTGTAATAAACACTTACGTCGTTTCAACAGAGGCGCGTTCCCGTGACGTAGCCACCTCAGCCCGTCTAGCACGGATGCATGCGCATCGCGACGAGTTCATCGCTCGTCTTTGTACTGAGCGCAGTGCCGCCTACCAGCAACGACTGCAAGCCTTTAATGAGAAACTTGCTGCCGAGCGAGAGAAGAGATTGGCAGAGCGGCGTAAGCAACGCGTTGAAAGGAGACGACAGGAGGTAATTATTTTCACTTTTACTCGTAGAATTTCACTATAGTCTAATGTAAATAATTCGCAAATAAGGCAGCGTTTGATAAGATGTTAACAACTGAACTAAAAGAGGGATAAAAAATAGACAAGAAACATAACTATGGGATACTTAGGGCGCCTTCAAATTAGACGTTGGAATTGACGAATTGAAGCACTGCCATTCCAAGAGTCTTGCTGCTTTTCAATCAGTCTTGCATAAAACTTCTCTCGTCCTGTTGCATCTCATTAAACCGTCGGGTTCGGGTTCGGGTGTTCTGGGTTGTACCTTGGAGTAAACTTCGTTGATCACGAGTCATGAGACCAGGTAATTAGAAGTAATTGTCTTGTGCGTTAACATTCATATCGCAAATTCGTTACTTGTATCAGTAAAACAAGAGCAGTTTTGCATAACAATCGAAAAGATAGATATATAGATAGATAGTTTTACCTTTTATTTGCATGTAACATAAATATCTAATTTGGTTTTGTGTAAAGCATCTGCAGTGGCTGGCCGAGAAACGTCGCGCAGAAGAACGCGCAGCGGAAGACGCGAAGCGCCAGAAAGAGGAAGAAGAACGCAAAGCACGTGAGGATCGAGAAAGGCAAAAAGCCGAAGAGATCGCTGCGCTCAAGGAACGCAAGGAAAAGTTAGTAACAACAGTGTTAATGGAAAACATTTCATTTTAGATCAACTTATACCCTATTTGATTATAACCATAACATTACTTTCACAGAGAACACCTGGAAATGTTAGCTCGTGTAGAAGCTAAATCACGAGCCAAAGAGCAAGAAGTCTTACGTCGTTTGGAAGAACAAAAGACCGCCACGAGCGGAGGCAGTAGCAGCACCTGGCGGCGCGATAACCCTAAAGGTGAAGAAAGCGCCTGGCGTGCCAAAGGAGGGGAACCACATGAAGGGAAAGAACCAAGGGAACCTAAGGAGGGAAGGGAACCTAGGGAGGCCCGAGAAACTAGGGAGCCGCCAGCTAAGGATCCTGAATCGAAACCATGGAGACCAAGTGAGCTATTAGTTTATTGACAGTCATAAAAACAAAAGCTTTACCTATGACAAATAATTATAATCATTGTTTCACTAAGTTGCGAACAACAGCCCGTTCATCAGTACCAAGTTCACTAAGTTTCATTAGTAATTACTAATTGTACCAGTTATTCTTAGTTAGTCTTAACTTCAGTACGGTATTGTGTTTTCAAAGCAATTTTTATTATCCATACCACGAGTTTAGTATCCAATGTTACATGTCGTCACTTAAATTATGATACTTGTTATGTAAATATGACTGAACAAATCACTCCACCTAGAGCACCCAAACCAAAAACAATATGCCACTGGCGTCTCTAAGATTGGTTGCACCGGAAATCAAACTCGGGAATACTTCATCTTGCGCCATCAGTTCAGGTCCTCAAATGATAGAGAATAATTTTATCTCTGAATCTGGTAATTTGTTCCATTGACAAAAGAAGAATGGTGAAAGCTGACCCAAAATCTACGAAGTGCCATTCATGGACTTTGCTAGTATAATTTTACGTTTTAGTTTATGTCTAGTTATTAATATATCTTTGTATATTTTTAGAAGTCGAGAATAAAGAAATTGCTAAACAATGTATTTTAGAACAGATGTAAGAACACAACGCAATTGATTCAGTTCGACCACAGATTAGGTAACGTTCTTGTATGTACGTTTCATTTTAAGCATGATTGAATGTTTACCTACCTAAAGTATTGGTTATTTTATAGTACACACATAAAACAATAAGGCTATTAAATACCTAATCAAATATTATCAGTTAAACAATAATAACATAAAGCAAAAAAAACAACGCACTGTCAAAAATGTTTAGACAATATTTAAATGAGAGACACGAAAGTTAGCATATGTCAATGTCACTTTTAGATTGAGAACAGTGTGACCATTTGTAGCAGATTTCTGCCATTTGGGCAGATTTAATTTTTATTCATTTTCATTGCGACTGAACATGTTAACGTTGCATTAAATGTGGCAGAGTTTGGCAGATTTAGGAACGTTCAGCAAGTTCTTTATTATTTTTAGGAACAAACTGAAAATTTGTTTTTTTTTTGTTACTACGAATAATCATCTGTCAACAATGTTATAAACATAACTTATATCAAGTTTATAATCCCCAGCGTCTACAGGCTGTACTCAATTAGCTTTTTTGATGCTTTGATAATGAATCATAAGTGTTGATAAGTCTGTTCAATGCACGTTGTCAAAAACACTGGGTCACAAAATACACTGGATGTCGCCATCCTTCTTTGTCAAGTAATGTGATGATAATGAGAAAAATTACTAATAGTATTGAGTTCTTTTAAAATTTATGTATTCGTCTTTAGCTCGTCACCGGGACGAACGCGCGCCGCGCTCCCCTGATCGGCGAGGCCCACCTAGAGATGAGAGAGGTCCCCCCAGAGAAGAACGTGGCCCGCCTAGAGAGGAGAGAAGCCTGCCGTCCAGGGAGGAAAGGGGTTCGGCAAGGGAGGAGAGAGGCCCGCCATCAAGAGAGGAGCGAGGCCCATCGTCGAGGGAGGAGCGGGGTCCACCACTAAGGGACGAGAGGGGACCACCACCGAGAGAAGATCGTTCGTCCAGGGATGACAGGTTAGTAAATATATATATTTATTTATTTATATATATTATAAGTAGTGTAGTTTATATAAATAATTAATAATTCTAATTTGTTCTAAGTACTAGCCATTGTTTTGTTTTTGTTACTGTTAAAATGTTTTCGACTCATTGACCTACCAATAAATGGACGTCGGGTTCGCACTTAAAAGTGTCCGCATCTATAGCGCGTTAAAATCACATACAGAGCGTCAATCGCGCAACAGTCTTCATTTGTTCGACTGTCAGCGCGGTTGTCAATCATCATACAGTACCATATAATAATAAGTTGTAAAAATTACTGCAGTATAGTGTAAAAACAGGGTTTTGTATCATATTTACACTAAACAAATATATTGTGTTATCATAGTTCTCATTAAAAAATATTATTTTGTACAGTTTTATAGTATTTAATTTATATATAAATGAATCGTAAATATAAATTACAAAAGCACACAAAATAATCAAATAGCTAACTGTCCTTTTTCTACACATTGCATTCGCAAAAGGTTGAAAGAGACCCATTGTGTTTACGGCTTGGGATTACCTATTAGAAATAAGAAAATACATTTGCCCGAAATAACGTTAACTCGAATTTTCATAATGTCAAATGTATTTTTTTAGGAAGATTACAAAATAAAACTAATTTTGTCTTTGTGAAAAGCATTGAAATTACACGAAAGCGTAACGGTTTTATTATAAATCGGTTTTCGGAATTACGGATATTTGAGTTTACGTAATATTTGTATGTATGTATCTGCCCAACTCTTTATTATTTCTTTAAGTGAATTTGTACAAAATTCGACATAATAATATATATAAGAATTAATTCATATTTACGAGATAGGCTACTCCAATAATTGTAATGTTCAAGTATTTTTCAGTCGAAACTAAATATGGCGCATTTTGTTAAGTTTCCAGTAGAAGCTAAATGTGGTATTTTTGTGCCCTGAAATTGTTGTAAGCAAAATTAGGCAGTACTGCAATGACGTTACAACTTAAATTAAATGTTTTAGTTTTTTGTATTTCGTTAGATGTTGACTGAAGGAGTTTGTATCCAGGTCATACAATAAAAAAAAAGAGAAAAGCGAGAGTACGCCACTAATTAAGTTATTTGTAAACACGAAATTTATTTTATTTATAACATTATTATTATTCACATTGACAAATTAATTTGTTTAGGAAACATACATGACGGGACTTGACACTTGGCACTTTATAAAAAATGAAATTATTGCTTATTGAACAGAGCAATGCTTATAACTTAAAATTATAAGCACACAACTTATGTTAAAAAGCAAACTGTTTAAACGCCCGCCTCTACACCTAAATATAGTTGCGTATTTTTGTTGCCTTACTTTTATAACCAGATAACATTGTGAGAAAAATGGATGATGATAATCTCCATGTCGTGAAACACATTGAAAAAGAAGTATCGCACATAGTATTCAAATACAAATAAAAAATCACCGTTTTTGGGTATCGATATGGTTATAGTTTCCCTGCATTGCGGTATTAAATTTGTAAAATCATGGCAGCATTTCTTACAAAACAATTTTATCTAATATCACTTTTGACAACATAACCACCACATTTTTACTTGCCAAGTTTGGAATTTTTGAGTGCCAGTGTACAATACTAGTATATTTATTGTTTTTACAGACGTGAACGTGACGAGCGTCCCCGTGAAGAACGTCTACGCGAAGACCGTCCGAGAGACGAAGGAGGTTGGCGATCAGCTGCTCGCGATCCCCCACGCGATCCAGACCGTGACAGGTAAACTTTGTCTACTGAGATCTCTAACCGGTTTGCAAAAAATTTTTAGAAATAAATAAATGTCAATAATCACAGCTATATATTGTTTGACGACAGTGCCCAGTGCCAGATGAGAAGATTTTGGATCCGATTCTCGCTAGGACCAATTTTGAAAACGAATTTTTGCTCTGCTCTGATGATTGATAGTGATTGGAATAAATCTGTATGAGTTATATTCTACTTTTGAACTTAAGCAAAGATAGTCACCTCGCACGTAAATTCAGCGTCATAGCTTTAGATCGTGACTTCTCCGGAAGTATTAGTTAGGTCTTCCCACGTTTGTGTGCGTCCATGTTGCCAGCCTAGTGCGGTTGCGACGACGGGCGCGAAGTGGTTACCTATCAGAAGTCCGAAACGACATTTTTCAGAAGTAACGTTTGCTCCAGTTTTCATAATCTCGAAAGTAATTTTGAGAGGTAAATGTTTTTTCTTTTAAACCTAACTTATTTAAACCTAATCGTGTCTTTGCGATAAACATCCAACATATCGACTGTGACCTGGCAGAATGAAGAAAAAAATGTATTGCGTCATTTATATAGCATATGATTTATTAAATAAAATACATAGTTTTTATTTATTACACATACACTACGTATTTGTATTTAATAAGCGAGATGCTATATAAATGACGCGTACAATTTTTTTCTTCATCATGTAAAGTCAAAATTGAGATAGTACCGGTTGCTAGTTCACAGTCGATATTCTGAAAGAACAACGATTTCGTTATAATTCGATTTCGAACAAATGTTATTTCGGAAAAAAGAAATTCGAGTTTGTGATAAGTTACCGCGCGAAGTCTCAAACATATGAAATCGCCGTTTAAGTCTTTAGTGCAGTGAGCACAACTGGCCCGAGCGAGATAGCGCGCGTAGTTTTCAAACGTTCCTATCCGCGCGTTATGGCTGCACTACGAGCCTAGTCAACAAGCGATGGTAATCGCGAATGAGATCGGTTGGCGGGGGTATCAAATCAGTTCAGTTTTGTCGCTCGCATGACGCAAACTTGCGAAAGTTTGTATCTTCTCTGGTGATTTTAGGTGTTATTTTATTCAAGATGTAGTCAAACGTTGACACGAGCATTCAGGTGTACTCAATGAATTTTGTAGGGTACAATTTCAATTCTTCATACAAATTGGAAAAAAAAAATCATCATTTATTTCTCTGTTTTTATTTATTTCGTGCACACCTTCTCTCCCAGACTTTACTAGATAGTCAGGATCGGACTATCTAGTAAAAATACCAAATCCTCGTCCATGATTGGTAACACCTGAAACACGTCACACGCCCCCGTCGTCGCACCCGCCACAGACCCTGATCACCGAGTATTCACTGTGACCTGCACACTAACACTGCTCTCGGCACTTTTTAGGGCACCAGGCATATATAATACGATGTTGTTATTTGCAGAGCACGTTACGGCGGTCGATCCAGTGGCCCGGAAAGCGGCAGCTGGCGTAGAGGCCCTGCAGACCCACCACCCGCGCCTTCTGTAAGTCGAATTGACTGAAATTGCAATTTATACTACAATATTAATATCTTTTCTTAGTCAGCAATACTGTGCAAAGGCGACTACTCCCTTCTCTCTTTCAGTTTCCTCCGCCATGTAAGAAGTGGCGCTATAGGTCCACACAATTGTTATATAGATAATATAATACACTTTGACAGGAACGTTCTGGAGCATGGCGTTCTAAAGATGGCCCACCGCGCGATGATCGTGACCGCGACGGTCCGCGTCGCGACGACCGCGGCGACCGCGACGGTCCGCGCGGAGACCGCGACGGACCGCGCGGAGACCGCTTCCGCGACGCTCCGCGCGAACCCTACCGCGGGCGCGACAGCGACAGACGTGACGACAGAGACCGCTTTAGGAGGGATGATCGTGATGTATCTAGGAGGGAAGATCGGTATGATGTATTGATTTCTGTATCTCCTAACTATTTATTTCATTTGTGACAAAAGTAATGAATAATCTTCAGATTGCCCATATCTTCCCGCCATCGAAGCAACTGTGAGATAACTCGCAGTTACTTTCATTGTAAGCGCCATATACAGGATATTTCGTTTCATAAAAGGATACTTAATAGACAGTTATAGGCCTTAACAACAAAATAAAAAACAAAAAAATAAATTTATTCGCCTGAGTACGTGTTTACTGGTAGAAACCAATATCACATCATCAGAACGTTGGCCAACACTTCTATAATGCGCTCTTCCGACGGAAGTGTACTTGAGCGCCCACAAACCTGCTACTTACCCTATAATTCGGGTAAAGAGCCTTCAATTCGACATTTTGTCAAACTACTAAATATCTTTCATAAATAAGGCTTGATTTTTGAGCAAGTGGAATTAATAATCTCCGAGTCTTCACCAGGAGACAGATATTAAGAGACAAGTGTTGTAATGTATACTTGTAATTTTGTTTAATGATATTAACAGTTAACATTTATTGTTACAGTGACGGTCCTCGCCGCGACGATCGAGATGGTCCACGTCGCGATGACCGCGACGGTCCGCGCCGCGACGATCGCGATCGCGAACGTCGACCACCGCCGCCGCGTCGCGAAGAAAAACGTAAATTTACTTAACATCTAATCACACCTCACAGATTTTCAGATGTCGGAATTGTATGGTAGACGATCCCCCAAAAAGTTATCATTCATGGACGAGGAAAGGCTTTATTTTGTTTATTAAGACAAGCAGCCCAACTCCGTCTGTTCGGTGCGTCAATTCCTAAACGTCGCTCAAAGCATGGGGTTGTCACATTTATTATTTTATCTGTGTAGTATTCTCGTGCTATATTGTATTCTATGGTTATGAAATCTATATCGCTCTCGCGCAAGTCACACCCTATTGTGCTAGCCTTACAGGAAGTCTATCGCGAAATACGATACTACGTGACTGAGTCCGCAACGAAGCTCATATGTACTACATATGTCAGTTTAACGATGAAAGTAATGTCAAAATTCGATACGAAAGCTGTCGTTTGACGTTTCGGAGTAAGAACTTATGTCAAATCACGATCTCTACGCCTTTCGTGGTAGCCTCCGGTCCGATACGAAGCTAAAGTGATGATCGTTGCTTCGTATTTCGTGGTAGACCTGTTTTTAAATACCGGACGAACGCTTCAATTCTATAATTAATGGCGAGTGCGAACCATGATGTGCAATTTGGTGGCACCGCGAGATAATAATAATAATAAATATAAATTAACTTGAAGTAACCACAACTTAAGAACCAGCCTATACTGAAATTATTTCATTAGTTACAATGGATAATTCATTAACATTTTTGTCTTATTCTTTGACCGTCTTGGTGTTCCAGCAGTATACTTGGAATACATGGGGAGTTCGAAAAAATAAAGACTTTTTAAATTGATTCTTGCTCGTAATGACATCTATAATCATATCCTACGGTTTTTATTAAAATCTATATTAAAAATTGATTTCGATAGTACGTCAACAACGTACGTAAAAATAAGAATAAAGAAGCGATTAACGTAATTTGTAATCATTAGAACGTCATTCACAATTCAGACGTTTTTAGTAGAATTTTACTTTTCACAAGCTATCGATAAACTCTCTAATAAGAAAACTCGATAATAAGTACGTGACTATTTAAAATTTTATGAAAATTGGCAAACTTGCAAATGTGATTTGACTCAATCTTTAAAAAAGACAGACTATAAATTTTTTTTTTTGTTGCAGCTCGCGATCCCGACGGTGACGACTGGCAACCTGTCACAAGACGTTAACTGCTTCACTAATACTACTAACTCTAGAATAGTGCTGGCTCATACGTCCACATGTATCCTAACATTTAGAATTCTCGTTTGTATGACCAAGTGTTTTTGCTGTCTGTACAGCCTTTGATATTTTTGTAAAATCATTGTTATATCGATGATTCTAGGTGCATTTCAATTGTTGCAGATTCCTTAAATTCATTAAGGGTGACTGATTTTGATCTTAACGTATTCACGAAATTGACCATATGTGTGCAGATATTTTTGGTTAGTGTGACTGAATACTTTTTGACGTTTACTGTAGAATTTACATTTGCAAATATGTTGTGTAATATAAATAAGGTTGGAAAGTCAGGCAGTGGTCTCAAAACTACCTGATCATTTACTCCACCACCACATGTGCTATCTAATGTTGAGGTGTGTTACAAACTTCATTTAATATTAAAAAATGACCTAAGTTGTCGGTCCTTCGTGTCATGTTTACGTAAAGATATGTACAAAGTGAACCAAGAATAGCTTCTTTGAAAAAATTAAAATCAGATTGAGTAGTACAACACTAGTAGGGGGATATAATATTTTGCATTACAACGTGAAAACGAACAGTATTAAGAAATAAATTTACGTAAATTCTGTTTGTAACGCGCTCGTAGATTTGGTATGATAAATAAGTCTCAAAAATCTCAAGAAGCCGTGGTAGCCTAATGGGTTGACCTACTGCCTCTCCAGCAGAAGGTCGTAGGTTCGAATCTGGGCTCGCATCTCTTGAGTTTCTCGGGATTTATGTGCGAAATTTTAATTTGAAATTTATCATGAGCTTTTCGGTGAAGGAAAACATCCTGATGAAACCTGCACGTCGAAGAAGGTTAACAACACTCGGAAAACGTGGGAAGTCCCCATCCCGCATTGGACCAGAGTGGCGGACTATGGCCTAAACCATCGTCTGAAAGGAGATCCGTGCCCAGCAGTGGGACATATAAATGGGTTGATGATGATGATGATGAAATAAGTCTCAAATTCAGAAACCATTTTACTTAGACAATCGTTTTTAATAATAAAAATTACTGAAGTGCACATCAAGCAGTCAAGCGGTTGATAGGATCTGGTCACTGGTGATAGTATCATCATAGTATAATAAAAAAATATGGCAACTCCGTACAAACGTAGCAGAGCGACTTGTATGTGTGCGCGCCCACTGCGTGCCGTATACGGACGCACACATTCGCATAATCTCGCGATGCACTAGTGTTATATAGCGTTATGACGCTAGTCGTCACATGTGCCTTTCATTATTATAAAACGTTTTAAAGGAGTTATCATACTGGTGTTATTATTCTATGGTATGGTCATCCAAGATGCTGATGATTATTGAAGCGCGGTGAGAAAAACACAATTCTACAGGTCGTTACGAAGCCCATATTTTGAATTGAGTTGCAACCTGTGTGTATATGATAAATATTCAATTGTAACATTACACGTACAAATGTGTGGAAAAAATACAACGTAGATTACTACGCTTTGGTTGGGAATCAACTTTCGACCTAGTAGTTTATTAAAACAGGAAAGCTTGAGTCAATCGATACGCACTTGAAACGCAGGCACACTGCAAACGAAGTTTTAGTAGCATGCAAAATTAAGCTAAGAAAATACTGTAGAGTGCTGCCACTCGACGTCAGTTTTTCGTTTAAACAGTAGCCAATGCATTATATTATCTGTTATTGTAATAATGACAACACTACAGACAACTGCGGGGGTGATGAGAGGCAGACGGGCGACAAAGTTTACTTACCAGACCGTTTGAACATAGTTTTGCAAACTAGAACCAACCCACAAAATGTCACTTTCGAGATAATTAGATTTTTGTAAAAACAGTGTGAAGAAATAAATAGGTAAGTTGTTTGATACAAATAACGTGAGTTATGTGTAGCATTGAGAATGATATAGGGAAACTATTATATTACATAGCAATAAATAGAAAACTTTATGTATCTTTTTATTTCGTTAACGAGAACCATGTTCTAGTTTTCATAATGAAAACGATAAAGATCTACAGTACTTCAGTACATGTGACATGGATTCATTTAAAAAAAAACATATGAAGTAGCATGGTTCTTTTTAGCTATTAAAAAGTTACTTTTTTAGGGGTTGGTACCCTGAAGGAATTTTATTTTCTCCGTTTTGGCTTGGTATATTGCCAGGATCTTTTGTGCGAGGGTAAAGAACACGTCGGTTGTTCTACCTAAATACATAACTCAATTTCACTCGAGGTATGGGTTGGTTCTTGTTTGCATAACTATGTCCGTTTGATAGTTAGCCCATATAGTTCAGTTAGTTCGCTCAGTTCGCGATGTGACAATTTTAGGAAAATATCCCGCGGGTACATGAGCTAACTTAGTTTTGCTTCGCTCGCTGTATGAAGTGCGCTTAGTACTTAACTTGTGAGAACGGCCTTAAGATACTTGTTCATACAAACTTATTAAGTTTTTTTAAATATTTTACTCTTTGATTATGACGCTACTGTTACGTTATTCTCTTGTTTGGACCCCTCATTGTTTTCAACAATATGATGTGCTTCTTAGTCGGATCGTTTCAAAACACTTTCACGAGGAAAAAGGCAGCTTTTGACATGCTTCATATTTAAACGAACTACCTTTTCCTTGTAAACATTTCCCGATTAATCATTATTAGAGTAAAAAAATAGATTATGTGCAAGTAAGTAGCAAATAGTATTCAACAGGGGTCCAAATACATTACAGATTGTTTATTGACTTGTCTCACTTTATACAGCAAAAAAACGTGAATTAAAAAAATCTTTAAAAACATCACTCGTTGATATTGCCATTTTGAATGAACTCATAACACTTTGAAGGTCAATAGCGCTGGACGCGTTTCAGGGTTCATTAATAATTTGCCAACACTCGCATACCGAGAGTTGAAAGATAGACGGGGTGAAGTGAGACTTAAAAAATGAGTTACACCTTGTTTGTTAGGTTCTTTACATCTACTTTTACTTTTACCGTATATACTCCCAGACACATAAATCGAGGCACCTTGCATTTTTATTCTTAAAGGGCAGAACACAAAAATATTGTTATCACTGAAGTTTTTCTCGGTTTTATAAATTAAAATTTTCAACACGGGCTGATGGAAATGACGTTTAGTATACCAATTTCAAAATAGCTTAGTACTTTTCGATCAATCAAATATTGCTTAGGCCAATTAATACCTCAACTTGCGTGTCCGGGAGTGTATATTTACCTATATGTATTATGAACTAATTTATAAATATGTATTATAAACGTTTAGCTTCTTACTTTTCTGCCGTTGATATGAAGATGCTGCCGTTCCGCGAGTGTTGGCATTATTTATAACAAGAAGCTGGTGTAATTGCAACTGCAACGATATGTAAAAGAAATCAAATATCAGCTCTAAATTAGTACATTTTTGCTACATAAAATTACGGTGAATTTCACGTGTATTAAATCTTGAAAACCGACTTCCTTGAAAAAATGTAAAATTTTGTTGAATCGGCGGTAAGTAATTTTGTTGCGTGAAAATTGTTAAAGGGGTCGATTTGAAGGTGGATTATTTCGTCATTTATGCCCCAAATTATATTTTACGGAAGTAACTAATTTTTAGTTCAACTTGCAACATCTTGTAAATCAAACTACATACCAATGAAGCCCACAAAATTTTACGATATAGTGAATAAACATTGAACATCGTCAAAACTTTGTAACTTGACGCGTCTATATGTACTTTGACAATTAAATACAATATTTTATTAGAGCATTGTATAAAGTCCAACATTTGTAGTTCAGAGTCAGGGACAACTTGCTTTGTGAATGGGGGTTAGACGAAGGAAGCACATCCCTTCCCCTTCCCTTCTCAACCCTTCTCCCATTCATTCGCAAATCCATATTTTAAATCAACTTTATGTTAATTCGCCTCTTGTTCTTTGTGGTTATACACCATAAACCAAGAATGTAATTTGAAGGCGTCTTACATAACACTTGTATTGTATTATATTGTACGGGTTCGGTCGTCGTGGGGTCGAGCTCGGCCTGCGGCGTGTGGACAGGTTTAGATTACGGGGTGTGCTTACGTTTTTCGGTGGCATAGTGTCTTTTTCTTATCGTATCGATGGCATACACTATACTGTAATCACTGTAGTAGTAAGCACAGCGGTTATTACTATAGGCGCTTTATGAGCAGGTTTCGGGTTCGATTCTCGATTTAGGCCAATCCTAAAATACTCGTTGAATTTAAGGCTTAATTTCAATTGTGGCGGAACGGAATGGAAGCGTCAATTTCAAAGGCGCGCCTTGAGGCTGTGGTATTTCGTGGACGTTCGACGTCACACTGCGCCTGCCTTCGCGCCACTTCCCGCGGATTCGCCGGCGTAAATCGCGGAATTCTCGCGAATGCGCGAGCATTCTCGAGCATGCGCGAGAATTCCGCGGAAGACGCGCGATGTGATTTTTGGCTATCTAGTTAGTACGTTACGAAAGTTCGCTTAAATTCCGTTCCGCCACAATATAAAATTGAGCCTAAAGAAACCTCTAAAATTACTAACTCTGAAAAAGGCTACACACTAATAGTCATCATAGTCAACTTAAAAAAATTGTATTTGCAATTACATTTTACCAAACAGGAAAATAAATTATAAATATTCTTTTATATATATTATTACACCAATAATGAATACATTTCTTCCCAGAGACAACTTAAATTAAACGACCTGTTCATATTTACTGCATATATTTTTACATTATGTACTCAGTGCTCGTATGTTATTGTCTTAGGCGCTTTATTTATTTCATTTATGCACTCAGGTTATTCACAATGGTAATTACGTATTGAAACTAAAAAATGCCAAACGCACTTTCGATTTAAACAATATTCAAACTAGCTTAATTTGTAATTATAATACATATTTAATTAATAGTTGGAAGTAAATTTGTTACTTTGCCATGTTGAAATGTTTAAAGCTTGTACTGGATGCCTATGTGAAATAAGCTAGTTATATCTCTTTATTATCAAATAAATGATTGAATCGGGATTGTTTTGTTTAATTAATATCATCTTCAACTTGTACACGTTCTTTAACTCCGCCATGATAGCTTCGGACCCGGGAGTCTATTATCTATTGTATTTGTAATATTATCTATAGGTAATGTTTTGTATCATCATTGTCTTACCTGTTTATTGTAATAATTTTTTAAAGTAGTCCTTTTTTTCTAATATCAAGTGACGGGACGAACAAGTCGTGCGCCTGATGGTAAGATACACGCCTGTTCATAACAGTTGCAGTGCGACTAAGAGCTTTTTTTTTTCAAATCAAATCATTGTGTACGCACGTCTATACGGTCTTATTTAACATTGTTGTGTCAGTACGTATTGCCAATTTTACGGCTTACAATTTACATAATTAAATTAATTTAACAGTATACTACTACATTTTAATTACAAAATGACAAATAATAATTTTTATTTAAATTCTTAATTATATTTGTCATTATTTTGCGGTGGTTAACTATTATTCTATGTTCTTGTCATTTAAGTAATCGCTGACTTTATAATATGCTTTCCCATTCAATAAATTAAATAATCGCTTTTTAAAATTGGCATTGTCGTTAGTCTCAAGTATATAATTAGGCAGCTTATTGTATAGTTTTGGCGCCATTGCACAAATATTATCATGAAAGAGGGTAGTCTTACAGGCAACCAGTTTCAATTTATTGTGCGTTCGTGTACTTTCCACCTTGCTGAAGAGTGTGAGATTTC